CGTACGAAACCCATAAAGAACTTGTGCAGCTCAACGGCAAAACAAACCAAACCAAAAACAAGCAAAAAACAAGCAACGCAGCTCAAAAATGCGCAGAGGACCTGAACAGACCTTTCCAAAGAGCACATGCGCGCGGCCAACAGGTATGTGAAACGATGCTCGACACCACCAGTCATCAGGGAGATGCGAACCCAAAGCACCGCGAGGTCTCCCCTCACGCCGTCAGAACGGCTGTCGTCAAGAAGTTGACCCACAGTGACAGCTGCTGAGCATGTGGACAAAGGGGACCCTCGTGGACTGGTGGTGGGACTGCGAACCGGTGCGGCCACCACGGAAAGCAGTCTGGAGGATCCTCGAAAGGTCAAGACAGGGCTACCCACCACCCGCAGTGCCGCCGCTGGGTATTCGTCTGGAGACGCCCGAAACGCTACCTCGAAGGGACGCGCATGCGCCCGCGTGCCCTGCGGCCGCAGCTGAACCCCGAGCTGCGGAGGCACCTGGGTGTCCATCGACAGATGGCCGGGCCGGGGCTGTGGTCTCACAGGCGGCGGGGTTTTACTCAGCCATAGAAAAGGAGGAAATCCTGCCATGTGCCAGGTGGACAGACCTTCGGGGCATCGAGCTAAGCGAAGTCAGACAGACAGACAGACAGACAAACAGCATTTACTGTACGATCGCGTTTCACATGGAACCGATAAGAAAGGGGACTCACGGATTTGGGGAGCAGACGGCGATTGCCGGAGGTGGGTGGGGGTCTGGAAACGGGTGGAGGGGCGCAGGGCACACACTCCAGCCGTAAGAGAAATCGGTTCTGGGGACGAGATGCACGGCCCGGCGACTACAGTCAAGAAAAATCGAGGGGACACTGCAGAGCAGGCCAGGGCCTCCCGGACGAGCCCAGGTTCGCCCGAGCGCAGGCCCTGCAGTCTGGCCTTGCCTCGCGAGGTTCGTTTTCCAGCGGCTCCTCCGAGCACCCCGTGCTCATCGCCCCGACCTGAGCCCACGGCGGGGACGCAGCGGCCTGCACGCTGCCCCGGCCAGAGCCTCCCGGAAAACGCTGGCGGAGAAGCCGCGGCACTTACGGAGCACTTCTTTGTGGAGCACTTCAGCGGGACGGAGAACCTGCCCGTCTGGGCCAGGAACGAGACGCTTCCTTCCAGGTCTTTGTTTATCTGAAAATAAAACCGCCCGACCCGCACGGACGTTTGCAGTGTCTCCCAGGGACACGTGTGACGTCTATGTAATCAGGGCCTCGGCCTGGGCCCGCCTGCCGAGTGGCAGCAGACGGAGGGGTCGGCAGGACGCTCAGACCCAGGAGCACGCACGGTCGCACCTGCCAGCTCCTGAGCGGGACCGCCACCTGTGATTCCGCTCAGCGTTTAGGGACACATGGAATGCGGTTTAAAAATAAAACGGCAAAACGGGCCCTGTGCACCCTCCCGCCGCCACGGCGTCCTCACAGACCCGACACCATCCACCCCCCGCCCCCCACGATGGGGTGAGGAAAGTCTCCTTTTACCTTCTGTGGTTTGGAACCGAGACACTCACCATGGGCTTGAAGGTGACCAGCACTTCACAGCACATCCCGGCTGACATGGGACCAGGGGGGTCAAAGCTGCAGGCAGAATGACGCACAGCACGTGTGTGGTGCCATCTCCGCTGAAGGTGGACACTCACGGCGCCATGTGGATGACACGGCCGGGCCGGGACTGACGGCAGAACGGCCCCTGCCCGGTGCTGGCCCTGGGCTGGCTGCCGGACCCCACCACCCCTGCCGTTCCAGGCGCCGGGCACCCCCTGCCTCCCAGTACCTAGCTTATACGGGTGCCCAAGCGCCCCGGATGGCTGTTGAGTGAGGGAAGGAGGAGGGAGGGAAGGAAGGGAGGGAAGGAAGTGCAGACCCCAAGGACCGGCTCCGAGGGAGCGGGTGCTGCGGGGATGTGTGCCAGGCCTGGAGCCAGGAGGCCAGGGTTTCTGTGCCGTGTGAGTGTGGGAGCCGGTTGGGAGCTGGTTGGGAGCCGGTTGGGAGCCGGTTGGGAGCCGGTTGGGAGCCAGCACTTAGCCGCGCATTTAGCGAAAGATCCAGAAGCAGCGCCCCGGCCTCACGGGGAGACCGAAGGCCGCCGGTACGTCCTGGTCTGCATCCCCGTGGGCGGAAACAGCTCCCAGGAGAAGCAGCGTGAGCCCTGTCGTCACAAGCTGGGTCTGACCCGCTGGGCTTGGCTTAGAAATAAATGAGCCAAACACTTAACCCAGAAACCTGTCCCGGGCCGGTCATGTTCCCTGGCAGCAGGCGGCCGCCAATCCCAAACTTCTCTGGGAGGGAAGCGTTCTGACGCCAGACAACAGAATCCCAGGGGTGGGGTCCCAGCCAGGGGAAGGTCGCCCAGACCCAAAATGCACACAGAAACCAGCACGGCGCGAGCAGGGACGGACCCCGAGGGTTAGATCGCAGACGGCTGGACCCTCATGGGGTGACTGAAGCACGTGGGGTAAAGCGACGGACCACACCGCAGAGGGTTACAGCTCTGGAAGAAGCAAGGCCCCGCTCAGAAACGCCAGCCACGAACAGGAGCCAAGAAGTTGGAGACGGGGCAGTGGGCAGCGGGCAGAGCTGGCCGAGGGTTCCCTAGACCTCCGAGGCCTGAGTCCTGAGTCTGAGCACCGCGGGTCGTGTGTGGCTCTACCTTCTCGGTCACCCCACCCACAACGGAGCGCAGGGCACCGAAGATGGGGACCCCAAGGAGCCCGGGAAGGCGAGGTGAGGCGCAGAGGGACAGCGACGGCCGAGCTCGGACCCGCCCCGGCCCGGCCCCTTACTCGACGCTGATGAAGTCCCGGAGGTGCTCCTCCACGCCCTCCAGCTTGCAGTAGTTGATGGTGTAGGTGGCATTTATCAAGGTGACCTTTTTCTTGTACACTTTGCCAACGTCGAAGTCCTGGAAAGACCACAGGGGACATTGTGGCTCGAAGCTCCCTGTGGCTGAGCATCTGCAGCCTCTCCCCACGGGCCGCCGGACGCTGGTCACACACAGTGACAATTCTCCCCACGGGCTGCCGGACGCTGGTCACACACAGTGACAACTCTCCCCACGGGCCGCCGGACGCTGGGCACACACAGTGACAACTCTCCCCATGGGCCGCCGGACGCTGGTCACACACAGTGACAAGTGCGGTGATTGTCCCGAGGGGGCACGCGTCCCGAGGTTGCCCCCCATGGGTGTGTGACGAGCAGGGTGAGGGGCGCCCAGCCTGGGGGAGTCGGGCAGGAAGCAGCCTCCCAGGACCAGCACTAGAGCTGGCAGGGGTGGGCTCTGGCCATCGGCCCCGGGCTGCGTGACATCTCGGGGGCCACTGGCCCCTCTTCTGTAGAGATGATGGACGCCACGGCCTCACTTTCGCTCATCGCCACACCCCTCCTCCTGGGGCTGCTACTGACCCTCACGCGAGAAAAGACGTGGCCTGGGGGGTTGTCCGAAAGCGAGGCCTGGTGCTGTGACCCCGTCCTCTGCAACCCAGGACCCCGGTGCTGTGACCCTGACCTCTGTGACCCGGGACCCCAGCAGGCGCACCTTGAAGTGGACGACCTTGGGCTTGCTGTTGAAGGGGCGACCTTTGAACTCACGCCCGGACACCACCTGCTTGTGGATCACCCCGCTGCGCAGCTGCTGTATGGTGCGGGCCAGGAGGTCCTTGTCCATCTTCGTCCCGCCCACGGGCTTGCGGTCTCCGTCCTCTGTGGGCACCTGGAGGTTCACGGGGCAGCAGCCCATGCTCGAGATCAGGGCCCGGCCAGGCACGGGGCTCGCCACTCAGGCCCCAGAGCACCTGGGGCCACGGGGGGAGTTAGCTAATGGCACAGCCAGGCCACGCAGGTGACCAGGACAGAGGGACACGCCCCACGCCAGGGGGGTCCCCGGACCCCATTCTGGGAGATGACGGCACGGCGGGAATTTTCTACGTTCTAAAATCAGGCCAAGAAAAAGTTTTCGAAAACTTCCACAGAAAACGGGGTTTTTCTCAAGTGGCGCAAAGAAGGCTCCCTCCCCCCGACCCAGTGACTGGGGACAGCCCTGCATTTTCCGGTTTGAAAGGCCCATGGGTCTGTCCGGGGCCCCAGTCTAGGTCCATGAGCGAGGACACCGCGGGAAGCTGTGGGGCCTCCTCAGGCACCCACGGCCGGTGCCCCCTTGGGCGGGTGACCGGGCCTGGCTCCGGCCACACTCTTCCTCTCAAGGCCAGCAGCACTGACGTGGATCTGCCCTTACGGCCAGCGGAAGCCCAGCGGGGGTGGGGGGGGGGAAGGTGCCCACGCAGGGGCAACCTGGGCTGGGCTGGCCTGGCCTGGGCTGGCCGTGCAGACAGCGGCAGCCGTGGCTGCTCTCCTGAGGTGCCGTGGACGCTGCTCAGGTCTCGGCTCTTTCAGAATTAGGGGGGCTGTGCTCGGGAGTGAGACTCGGATGGAAAGACACCGCCCCGTGGCCAACGCCAGCGGCTTAGCCGCGGGAGAGCGCTCGCCTGGCGTGACTTGTAGTCTGCGTCCCAAAGCCCCGGGATCTCCGGCTCCGCCAGCGTGTCGTCCTCCCAGCTGACGGGCCTCGGGTCCCCCTGGACAGACTCTCTGGAGACGAACGTCACTAGCAGGTTTTCGGGGTATCCGAAAGTCTCTTTCTCCTGCAGTCAGGGAGGAGAACACGGTGGCTAACTCTACGAGGCAGAGGGAACGAAAGTCGGGGGACAACCCCCCAGGCTCTCCTCTCCCAGGGCCTGGAGCCGGGACTGCTTTGTAACTCCCCACGTGAGACGTAAGTATCTCTGTGCACGGTCCCATGTGTATGTGTGTGTGTGTGTGTGTGTCTGCGTCTGTGTCTGTGAGTCTGTGCGTCTGTGTATGTCTGTGTGCGTGTCTGTGTGCGTGTCTGTGTGTTTGTGTCTGTGTGTCTATGTGTCTGTGTGAGACCTTCAGGTGTTGGGGTCACCACGTAGAAGCAGAAGTGCCCAGCTGGCTCAGGAGGGTGTTCTGACATCCTTGCCCCACAACCTCAGGGACAGGTAAACAGGTCACCTACACGGGCACAGAGCCAGTCCTCACTATGAATGAGTGAATGAACAAATGAACAAATGAGGGGAAAGCTGCCCGTCTCTGGGGGTGATCAAGAGTCTTTGGCACCAGGGGGATAACTTGCATGTAAAGTGAGCAGTGCTCAAGTCTGGCCCTGACCTGTGACTGGCCTTTGGTCTCCCTGCCGTGGGCTCCCCTCACTCCCCGGCCGCCACCGCAGTGGTGTCCCCAGGGGCCGGCTCCCGTGGTGCATGAGGCAGTGACCTGTGTCTCAACCCCTTGCACCTGAGCCAGCCCTCAGGAGAGGCCAGCTCCCAGGCGGTTGCCATGTGGCCTGCCGCCCACCTGCTTCAGGGAGCAGCTGTGACGCTGCCCCGTGTCCTCCAGAGGGAACCATGGGGACGTCAGAACACGCAGCCACCAGTGGGGCCGCCTGACGGGACGTGAGGCCACAGGGCCGGCCCTCGTGAGGAACTCGGGGAGACCGGGGAGCAGGCGGTCCTTCTGTCAGGGTTCTGATCGGGTCCCCACGACACTGGGCCCCACTGGGCCCTCGGCTCACCGCCAGGTAGCAGGAGGCGGCCGGGGCCGGCTTCCCTTCGCAGACGGTGGCCAGGTAGCCCCACGTCCTGTCCCGCAGGGTCAGCCGGTCTGCAGCATGGGCCGGAGGAGGCAGCCTCCTCCTTCTGTCCTCCTCGGCCTCCTCCTTCAGAATCCGGCTCACAATCTCGTCCTTTCTGAGCTTCTGCTCCTCCTCGAAGGCGCTGTGGGCAGATGCCGTGGGCTGGGACGCGGCCGCCCTCGAACCCGCGCTGGGCAGCACTGCCCTCCCCAGGAGCGCGGGCCCAGCCCCGCCAGGCAGATGCATGGCACCCAGGCGGCTGCCGGGCCGGACCCCAGGACCCGAACCCCTGGCCCCATCCAGTCCCCTGGGGAGTGGCCCCTGCTCCTGGCTTCCAGGCTGGCAACTGGGGCGCCCCCACCGAGGGACACGCCAAGGCAGCTTGAGGCCATGAACTCATTCATTCATTCATTCATTCATTCCAGCGGCTGCCTGCTGGCCCCTCCTGTGTGCACCAGACTAAGGGACTCAGGGGTGGGCAGAGCTGCCCCGGGAGCCCCCACCAGGATGGGTGATGGCAAAACTCCAGAAGTGAAACTCAGAGCAGTGTGACTCCTGGAAACGAGGTGCTGTCCCCAGCAAGAGGACCAGGAGGCCAGTCACGCAGATCCTAACAGCAAGCATTCTGGGGGACTGGGCGTGGGGGCTGGGGTGGGGGAAGGGCCAGCCCTCCAGGGCAGAACCCTGGACTTCTGGTCTCAGGAGGACACTCCTACAGGGACGTGCTGGGGTGGGAGGCCCAGTGGGGACCACCATCTCTCGGGGGAGGGGTGTGGCCTGGGTCCCAGGGCCCAGGGGGGGTCTCAGGGTTAATGACCCGGCTGCATTGAGAGGGCGGCTCTGAGGCCAGGAGGGGACAGGAGAGGACGGGAGGGGACGGGGCGGAGGGAGCAGGTCCGGAGAAACCAGTCTGGGATCCAGCAGCGGGGACCGTGCTGGGGGACCTGGATGCAGGGGGCTGTGCTCCGGGGCCTGGGAGACACCCCTCCTGCTGGGCTGTGGAAGGGGGGGCTTGGCAGGAGTGGGGGGAGGGCTGGAGCCTCCATTCCCGCATCCCCCAGGCCTATCCTCAAGGGGGCTCCAGGGAGAGACAGAAGCAGCTCCCACCTGCCGGCAGGCAGCTGGCAGGGGAGGCCCTCACCGTTTCTCGGCCTCCAGCTCCTGGCGCCGGCGTTGGTGGAAAAGGTGCTTGAAAGCGTCGCCCCCTTGGGCCAGAATCGCCTCCTTTTCTGCCTGGGCCTTCTGCTCGGCCAGCTGTGCCTTGGCCTGGCCCCACGCTTGAAATTTCCGGAGTGTTTCCTTGGGAATAGAGAACACGGAGCTTACAGTATTAGCACGTGTGTGCACACACGCACATGCAAACACGCGCACGTGCACACACGCGGGGGCTTCCTGCTCAATAGGTGTGACGTCACAGCCACTCTCGCCCAGCTCCGCCTGTGCCCTCCCTTCTAAGTCCTCGGGGTGGCTGATCCCGCTGTCCTCGAAGCCCCGGGTGACCGGCCGCTCTCCTCTGCCTCTTCCGTGTTTTGGCCACCTGGGCTGTGACCTCTGTCCTCCGAGCTTTCACGGATGTTGTTCCTTCTTCCCCTCTGCACTTCCCTGGCCTAACTGCGCATCCTCAGGCCCCGGGGGATGTCACTTCCTCCAGGAAGGCCCCGGACCACAGCACAGGGCCATGCGGAGTCTGGTTCCCCCGCAACCCCGTCCTTGCTCTTCCCACAGGACTAGGCTGCACGAGGTCGCGGCCGCGGCGCTTTCTCGCTGCCCGACTCCGGCGCCTGGCTGGTGCCGGCAGAGACTTGTGGGCAACAAATCCGGGGTGGACGCCCACATGTCCCCAGGGAGAGACTGAGTGACACGGGACCCAGGTCCCAAGGAGCAGGGGTTCGGGAGGGCGGGGCAAGCCGAGCGGCGCGCAGGCGCAGACCGCGGCCTGGAGACTTGGGTGGGGCCCGAGGACCGCAGGAGGTGGGCGGCCGCGGGGGGCCCGGGCGCCCACCCGGTTGGCCGTGATGCTGTTCTTCAGGGCCAGCACGGCGTCCATGCGCCTCCTCATGTGTTCCCGGGACTCGAGCTCCTGCTGCCGGGCCTGCTCCTGAACCCTGCGGGGGGCGCGGGGGGCACGGCTGACCCGGGGCGCCTGCAGGTGCAGCACCGCCCGGGCGTGGTCGCGCCCTCAGGGGAGAGCCTTAAAGGTGACGCCATGAAAGGGGGGTGAAGTGCTGTGGCCGACGGCAAGTCACAAGGAAACGCGGCTGCAACACCTGTCTCGGGGCCGCAGGCCCCTCGTCCGAAGGCGCACGGCAAGCAGCTCAGGACTAAGTCTAGGCTGGTTTTTTTTCGGATCATAAGGTGATGATTTAGTCATAAAGTTGGTGAGTTGTGAAACAAGAACAGGTGGGTGATCCACGCCCTTAGACCCGCCCCCCAGGGACAGGCGGGGAGGGTCTGCAGGGGGCGCTACCTCCCCAGGGACGCCTTCAGGAACTTCACCGCCACCCTGTGGTTCTTCCTGGCGTCTTCCACGAGCTTCTGGTGCCGGAGCCCGTGCTCCTTCTGCAGGTACATGGATTTCCTGCGGTGGTGCGGCAGTGGGGCCAGGAACGCATGTATCATCTGCTCGCCAGCGGGTCCCAACCCCGCCCCCCCTTCCCCCAGGGAACAGGTGTCCCAAAGAGTCGTGTGCGCTGTGCGGGGGCCGGGAGGGGCCGCAGGGCAGCGCGGCGGGTACAGGGCTGGGAGCCCCACAGGGAAGGGGTCATGCAGGCCGGGTCTGGGCCGCCCGGTGACCAGGACCAAGTGGGTGAGGAGGGGCGGATGAGGACGCTGGGGCACCGGATCTACAGAAACGGCAGAAAGTTCTGGCAGGGGCTGAATGAGGGGGCTGGGGCCCCGGACGAGATAGAGCTGTACTGAGACGGCGACGCCGGGTCCCACAGCTGGGACGCACCTGGGGTGCCCGCCCCGCCCTCCCAGAAGCCTGGGAACAGAAACGCCAGGGACGGGGCCTCGGGGAGCAGGGGCAGC